AAGACTCACCCTGTATATCTCTCTTTTTAAAAAATTAAACGTGAAAGAATTAACATTCTTATTTTTAATAATAAATTATCTTATATTAGAGGTATCGAAGTATCGGTGTAACTGTCAAGAATTAATTTGATTAAATAATCAGACAATATATTATTTCATTTCACACCAAGTAATATCGATTTTTTACTTGTCGGAATGGGCAGGCTCTGCAGGAAGAATTAATGAGTCGCGTACATCAAGTCTCAGAACTCGAATCGTTGCCGGAAGTGAGTGCGCTAGCGATAGCGCTGAAGGAAGCCCTCTCGGATGTAATTAATCGTCTCCAGCGAAAGCAGCAGGTATCCAACGCTTTCCAGAACTCGGGGGCTTTCGCACATATCACTCCTTTTCATGGTGCCTCGGTCGCTTAAAATAGCATTACCAAGAATTCGGAAAAATCAATCATTTTCGAAACTTGCCAAGGCTTCGTTGTTTTGAGAATAGAAAATAAAAGGCTTGCAAATTGCGATTATTACAAAGCTGACGAGCTTTGTAGAGCGAATAAAAAATTATAGATGACAGATAAAATTACGGCTGTTAATTGCGAGAACAATAATTTCCCCGATGTTTCATCGTGAATCTGCATCAAAACTATTCTGACTCTTGCTTGAGTAAGAGCCTGAAATAATACGTTTAGATTTGAACAGTCATTGTTCCGGGAGCAATATGTAATATTGAATAATTAGACGATGATGAACGCTTTGTAATAAGCGGCAATAAATAATGCAACTGTCGGCAATAGATGTTCTAGTCGAGCTGAATAAAAACATTGTCTCTTGCATGCTTACACAGACATAAATTGTTTAATTGTAGAAAACATTATTTTGGATATTTTTTCCTTTTTTTTTCTTCTTCACCATTGTCGCTACAAACACATGCGCTTTTCATCACGCACACCGTTCATAGACGCATCGTACATTATTTTTTAGTTCATTGTACATTATGTATCATGTGATTATTATGTATTTTCCTTTATCTTAAGGTGATGGATGTAATATAGGTATTGCATGTAATTAAGGAATGTTAATACATTGCTGTAATATTTCATGTAATTAAAGAAAATTCTCATTAATACCTGTTCCTCCTTCCTTCACTCTGCGTCGTTAAACATTACAGTTGTACATCATATTTAGTCCGACGTGTATAATGTTGTACATAAATAATAATACCGCGTAAATAATAATTTCTCGATAAAATCAATGAAACTAAATTTTCTTTAATGTGTGTACACATCTCGTTCATATAATTTTTATTAAAAATACAAATCACTGAATTGCAGCATGTTAATGCTTAGTGATAATTAACTTCATATTTGTTATAAAATAAAAATAGAAAATTTTCGTTACGTTACAGTTTAAAGTCGTTTAATTATCACAGGCTATAATATGTTGCAAGTAGTATTTTATAACGAAAACTAGATGAAAGTACTATCAGAAATATATTTTATTGCTATACAAATGCGATTATTCGTTTTATCCATTCGTTACTAATTGAATAAATAAAATTAATAAATTTTAATTTATTGAATATTCCCGTGTCAGCTTTCATACTATTATCCCTTTAACAAAGAAACTTAAAATAATAACATTTTAATGGAATTATTTAATTTGAGAGATATACTACATAGAAATAGATGCAAATATTTGCAATAAATAGCTAATTAAACTATAATGTCACAAGTATATATCAGTATATAATATTAAAAAATCCTTCCTCGCAGGAGATCTGTGATGAGGAAGCTCAAGCTGACGACGAATCGACAGAAAAAGACAATGCTACTCTGGATGAAGCGCCCTCAATTCATTCCTCCATAGAAGGTGGTCCGCCATCCTTGGCTGACGTTTCCTTACAGACAGGTCAAAGTTTACTGGTCGACGACATTGTTGAGAGAAAGGCGCAACTTACAAAACAGACGTCTACGACACAGATGCCATCGTCAATCACGTGTCATTCTCTCACGACACAAACATCGCAAGAATTATTACCGAGCGAAGGTGCTCAAACGCAGGAAGCGATAAAAGTCTTAAAGACCACAACGGACGATCACGATGTGATCGAGATCGCAACCAAGTACGTACCGTCTAGTTTCAGTCAAGAGACAGCGCGTCGGGAACAATCCAACATTCTGCCCAGCGAAGACATCGTCGTCGATATGAAGTATCAAGATGCGAAGAAGACCGATAGCGCGACGAGCGAACTGAACATCGTCCATGCCGCGCCACAATCCTTTGAGACAGTTCTAGTCGAGCCGGACGACGTCACCACCGAAGTGGTCGTCGATGCCGACGGTACTAAGAGGATTATTGTAAAAAAATTACGACGTACCACAGTTACCAGCAGGCAAACCACACAACAGCGTGTGTCCACGCTGTCGGCGGCGCTTGGAGACGCGCCGCCAATGATGCAGGCTTTCTCGGAGGCTGCAATGAGAGATCAACAAGTCACTATGACCAGAACAAGACCAGATGGTACCATCGAGACCACGACAAGACAGATTTACGGTGGCAAAGTCACTACAGGCGCGCCCGCCGAAGGTATCAATGTAGAGGAATACGAATCCGAGCCACATTATACGCGCATGGTGACACAAGGTCAAATAGGAGACATCAGTTGCGAGCCAGTCGAGGAAGAGATATTGATGGAAGGTGGTGAGTATCAAACGAGGACATCGAGCGTTCATGCTGTGGTGCAGCAAGTCACAAGACGGGTGATCAAGCGAACGCGTAAAATCATCCGGAAAGTTACCATCGTAGACGGCAAGGAGACCACTACCGAAGAGGTGATCGAAGAGCCTGAAGAAGTAGAAATAGATGAGCAGGATATACCACACATCAGTATTAACGTGGTTAAGAGCGAAGATAAAAAAATTATACTTCCAACAGAAAAGGCAATAGAGCAGGAAATAACGAGACCAGAGATACCAATAGGATCTTATATCTCTGAAAGTTCGATGCAGGGGCCATTCTTTGGGCCATTTGCTAAGGATATTACGAGCAAGCCTCGAGATAAAGTAGAGAAGATCACAGGAACTTCAGATTCGATTGCAGAAAGGGATGGTGATGTCATGGAAACGAAAATATTGGATATTGAAGATCATAAAAAAGAAATTACATTGTTAGAAGAACCCGCGATAAAGGTGGTAGATTCTAAAACAGAAACAGCGGACTCTAAGACTCTAAAATTAACAGATTCCACACAAGCAGCAGTACTTTCTTCTGTGGAAAAGCACGTATCACAAGCAGAAAACTTGGCTAGCGACGAAAGTGTAGTACGAACAGACGTTAAACAGCAAGCAATGGATAAACAAGAACACGAGTATTTCCCTACTGAGGTAAATGGTATAAGTACACTTGTGATTGATAATCAAGCGTTGATCGATGCTGAACGATCCGTTTTGCAGACTCCTGTCAAAGATGTTACAACGGTACAATCGGAATCTGTAAAATCCCCATTAGAGCCAGCCGTAACAGATGATGAGCCGGTGGTCACCAAGGCTACTTGTAAGTCTGACGATGCACCAGTAAAGAGCGAAACACTCAGTATCGAGCTAGAAAATGGCACGGTAGAAGTAGAGACGCACCATGGTGATAGCACTGTAGAAGCTGGTAAAGATGTCGATGTATCGAATGTCATTGTATTAGAGAAAGAACATGATGGAAAGGAAGAGTCAAAAAGAGAGGTATCGCTCGAGTCAGCCAAGGAAGTTACGGCGTTAACATCACTTGAAAAATCGGAGCCAGGAAACGGAGCAATCATTCTAGCGAGTAAGTTAGACATTTCTGAATTTGATGAAAATACGGAAAAAACTACTTCAAGATTGAAAGCTGTGGAAACACCTAAAGAACGACAAATGTCACCAGAATTATTGAGACGTGAGGAAAAGGACAAGGATGAAGCATTCAAACCAGAATATAAACCGATGTTCCACAAGGTTGAAATAGCTCTGTCGGTGCGTAAGGAAGATGAGGAAGCGGAACCATTGGTCTCTATCAAAACTCAAGCAGAAAGACCCGAAATTGCCCCGTACAGCATCGTCAAAGAAGATGTAGACATTAGTCTTCCAGTAGACAAGGAAACGACAGAGGTGATACACGATAAAATTGTGCAGACCACCGCCTTTTTAACAGCTGAAAAACAAACGGAAACCTTACAATTATGTACCGCAGAAAAAGAAGTCGATGTTCACATCGAATCGTCAGAAAAGAGTAAATCTGATACGACAAGTCACAAAGGTAGAAAAAAGAAACGGCATAAGGATAAATCGGAGTCCTCGGAAAAGCCTGTGGAAACAGAATCCAGCACTTCCATTGCTACATCAGTTGCCGAATCCATGGAGATCAATATTCCCTCATCTGATTCGTCTAAACATGTTAGCGAGCAGCCGCAACCGGACGTTGCAGAAATCATCAAGTCTATTACCGAATCGTCTTTAAGCTTGGACGATGGTATTGCGACAGAGAATGATGGATATCAACCGGATGATAAAACCATGGATGAATTATCGATCGCGCTGGACGATGAGGATGGCACAAAGAAGAAAAAGAAAAAAAAGAAAAAGCAAAAGGTTCGACAGCTTCGAGATGGAGATTTGGCTCACATGCTTAAAACTAGTAGCGACGATGTGGTATTCACGGATGATGCAAAAGATAAAACAAATGGAAGCAGAATAATAGACGAGGAGAAAATGAAAGAAGAAGAGCCAAAAGAGACAAAAGAAACTATAGCCGAAATGTTACAGCATGAAAGTAAAGGTGACGCGAATACTCAAACAGCTATGGAGACATGTGACGTATCAACTTCACTCACTCCAAAAGCAGAAGAAAGTCTCTCTACGTTTATGCAAACGTCTCCTGAGCCGGCACCGCTCACTTTAGAAGAAGAAATACAAACGGCTAAAACTACAGAGATTCATATTGAGACGCAAACCATTTTAGAACCCGGACTTGACTTCAGCGCTCAGACTATCGCAGAAGAAACTCCAGAGGTTGAAGATTCAGGTGTACAAACTATGACACCTACGGCAACGCCAATGGAAGAGTTCGCTATTCAAACTAGTCCAATGGAAGATATCTCTCCTGCCGTTATTGCAGTAGAAACGGAAGATTCTCAAGCACAGACGACTGAAATTGATGTTCACTCCATGGAAATGCAAACTTCACCCATTGAATTAGCTCCAACTATAGCGATTGAAACTCAAACAACAACAAATACTGTAATGGAAGTTGGACAACAGACTACTCCACCACCAGTAACAGAAAAAGTTGTTGTGCAAGAAATTTCTATTCAAACGTTGTCTGAGGTACCAGAGTCTGTCGAAAAAGACATGCAAACAAGTGCTCCGGCAACCCCGGAACAACCAGACGTTTCGCATGCAGATACTCAAACAATAGCGCCAGGAGTTGCTGAAACAACGGAAACACAAACGACACCTGAAGAGAGTCCTCGAAAGGTGGAGTTGCAGGAAAGCGAAATGCAAACAAAATCGCCCGAGCCAACCAAAGAAACCATGATGCAAACGAGTCCAACTATAGTTAGTCCCGAACATATACAAGTATGCGAAGAATTTGCCCAAACTAGCATTGAAGAAATGAAACAGACTATCGAGGAAGAATCACAGACATTACAGACCAGTCCGCGGAAAACTGAAACCTTTGACAGTTCGGTGCAAATAAAGGCAGAAGAACTGATACCACAAATTGAAGAGGGTGTGCAAAATATTCCCGAGGTATGCGAGATAAGTGTACAAACATCACCGGAAGAGAAGCAATCAGCTGAAACAATGTCGGTATCTCAACAGACAACACATATTCCAACTCATACTGTTGAGGTATCTACGGAAGATTTTAAGATTGGAATAACGGAGAAAGAAGATCTGCGCGAAGCGTCCGTTCCAGGAGAAATAGCTAGCTCAGAAGAGATAAAGAAAAAGGAGAATGTAATGTCTATAGATTTAGTGGAAACTCCAGCAGCACCTGATGTACAAGTACCAGAAAGTATAAAATTCTTAAAGAAAGAAAGGGAAGGAGAAATTGTAAATAAGCTGATACCAGAGATTCCCACAGTGGTTCCAGACAATGTCAAACAAATGGAAGAATCCATTGAGAGGGAAGCGAAACTTGAACTTTCTGAAACATCTATAACAGAAGATCGTCCAAAACTATTGGAGACTGTCGAAAAGACAAAAGAATCTACGCCATCTTCAATGTCAGAAAAGGATACTACTTCGGATACGTCATTTGAAATTCATGTTCACGCAACCATAGAATTATCCGCCAGTGACACGCTCGATAGTGCTGCATCTGATAGCAAAGAAACGGCTGATACTTCGCAGGATACCACAATTGCCGAGGATTTAAATAATGACACAAGTATCGCCAAGCATGATAATAAAGCAGCGAAACGGCAAAAGAGAAAGAGAAAGCATAAGACTATGGAGATTATTCTACCGAGCAAAGACAAGTCGGAGCTCGAATCCATTGGGCAACCCATGGAATCCCAAGATAATGTCATGAAACTGTCTTATTGCGACATTGCCAAAAAGCATGAGAGCAGACATTCTCCCGTGGGAGGTGACATCTCGGAGGAAGCGGCCGAGATATCCGAATATCCTTCTCAAATCGAATCAGATGTAAAATCAGCAGAGACTGCGTTAAAGACTGTGATAGAAAGAATGGATCGACGTGACGAAGGCATTCAGGAAACCCCCTTAGACATTTCAACTACCTCGGAAACAGTACCTATATCAACGAGTGATCAATTTGCGATTGACTCGAGTCACAACATTCCAGAAACGATAGTACCTGAAGTAGCAACAGTACGAAAGTCATTTGCGCTTAGTAGACCGACGATAGAACCATTGTTGATGTCGTCGGATCCACAAAAACTGTCCGGAATAACATCTACATCGCCTGAGCCAATGGATACCACTGAAGAACCATTGACGCCCATAGAAATCGAGCAGCCTATTCTAAATAAAGAAACTATTACACCATTCCGGGCAGAGATTAAGACATATGCCGAAGTAATATCCGAAACACCGGCAGCACCGTCCTTATCCAACACTGAAACATATGAAAAGAGAGAAATGTGGAAGGAACCCACAACCAAAGTATCGTCTCCTCAAGCTTCATCCGCGGCTTTCCTTTTAAATGAATCTTTGGAGTATAGCGCCAAATCGCAACATCAGGGAACGCAAACGATGCAAGCTGCTAAAATAATAACTGATCGAGTGAAGAATCTACAAAATACCAACGAATCGAGTCATTTGGGTAACATCTTGCATATCGCACATCTGGAAGAAGTCACCACGGAGAGACTCGCAGAAGAACGCTCGTCGGATATTCGCCGAGAACTGGCACAACTCAAAAGTGCTGTTCAAGAGAACGATGTGATAGTCGTCGAAGAAACTCTCGTCACTGTCGTCGAAACGATCTCGACTTGGCTAGAAACCATTGAATACCGAATCTTTCTAAATAGAGAATGTCCGACTGGGCCTTCCCACGAGGACGCTAAAACGTTCGTTGAATTGAAAGACGAGGTGAATCATGTAGAAGAAAGTATCCGCGAACTCGATAATATTTGGAAGCAATTGGAACCAAACTATCCGGTAGGCGAACGAGAAAAACTGCGAGAATGCGTAGACGCCCTTGAACACCAGGTGAAGATTATCGAAAACGTTACCACTGACGGAGAGAGATATGCTAATAGACAACTCGCAAGATGGGATGAATTTCTAAATGGCATTAATAACGTATACAGGTGAGATATACCAAAATATTAATAAATGGTAATTTGTTACATAAATCGTTATAACGTACCTTACTGCATATATTTCGTTGAATACAGAAGTGATTTAAAAAAATAGATACGATTTTATTGTTCAATGTTTTCCCTTTTTGTATCGCTATGATTAATTTTTGTTTAATGCTTGTTACAGATTAATCGAAGAGCAACGCAAACAGCTCGATTATATAATTGAAAGCGAGTATTCAACACAATGGAAGTTACAGGAACTCGATAAACTGGAGAACACGAATCGCTGTCACATGTGGAAGACAAGTAGGCTTCTCGACGCTGCTCGTGAATTACTGCGCAATCATCCTGGCAAGATCATACCAGAAGAAACCTATGCCGCTCACGAGATGACAAAGATCATAGAACACGGTATATGTGTCGAACGAGAGCGTCTTCTCCAATTGCTCGCTTTAGCCGAAGAATACGAGCAAACTCTTCAGGAATTTGCGCAAATTATCGAAATTGCCGAAAATCTGCTGGACAGTCCGATATCCGTGATAAGTCTGGAACATCTCCAGGAGGAAATGCAGAAGCACAGAAAATTTTTTGTCAATCTGAACCATTGTCGTGCGATCCTCGAATCGCTGGAAGGCAATCTAGACCCTGAAACCAGAGCCATACACTCGGGTTTGCACGAAGAACTGCATAGTAAAGCAACGGCGTTACTCGATCAGGCGGCATCAAGAGCGCAACAAATGGCCTTGGCCGCGTCGCGATGGATACTACTCGAGCAGGGAGTAAAGGAGGAAAGAGGATGGCTACAAGTTGCACATCAAAGAGTCCCTGATCTTCAAACGGTGACTTCAACCGACTATGACCAATACATCTCTTTATATCAAGTTAGTAATTATACTAATGCTTGCAAGTTATATTTAAGAATGTGTGAGCATGCTGTAAATTTAAATTAACAATTTATCAATTGTTCACATTTTAGTCTCTATCATCGGACGTAGCGACTCATCATGCAAGGATAATTAAATTACTCAGCGTGGCACGTAGCCTTCATGATCTCATCAATATCGAGGATCCTGAAGACCGATACGGTGAAGCTTTAGACGTGATCGTACAGTTGCAAGACAATATCGAATCCTCCCTGAAAAGATTGCTGGCCTTTAGGGAGAGTTGGAATAGTCAAGAGATGTTGATGAATCGCGTAGAGCACTGGATGATAATGGCCGAAAAGAAACTTGCTACATTACACGATCCATTGGGAAGTTCTATGCGTCAATTCTGGGTAGGCGTTCTTCTAATCTTCGTCTATAGCCTTGTAGCTATATTTATAGCTTAGTAATCCAGTAAAAATATTTATCGGTGGGCTGCATCCGTACCCACATTTGGGTCACGTTTTTCGAACGCATTTGGCCTCGTGCCATCGGAAGCACATGTCCTCTCTTCCACGCGCGTGTATTTTTAGCACAATTAAAATTGGAGAACAAAATGTGTAATATTACGCAACGTCATCTTCATTGTCGACGTTGTTGTCTATCTTTTTATCGAAAATTTTAGTCAGTGCACTCAATATAGCGTGCTCTCGATTATCTGGATTCTACTGTTATTACTTCAACACAAGAAAATATTATTGGTGATTGTGTTGACCATATCTGGCGATTAAAATTCTTATTGCGAAAAATATTACCCCAGCCGGGATTCGAACCCGGGACCTCCCCACAATCCGTGACGGGCGTCTTAGCCAGCTCGACCACCGGGGCTGTGGTAATATTATTCGCAATAACATGTATATTACTTAAGATGTTGTTCACGCGTCTATTTCGACTTTTCAGAACTGTGCGTCGATATGGTTGTCGATCGTACACCGAACTGTCGATACGCGATTTTTAAATTTACTGTTTCCTTCTTCCCCTTGATCCCCTTCCCCCTGTAGAATAAACACCATGTTTTTTAGGTCAATGGTGTATAATCAACTAGAATATTCTTAAGGTTGCCAGCAGTAATTAACAATATTGGTGATTTTGTTGACCATATCTGGCGATTAAAATTCTTATTGCGAAAAATAAACAAGAAAATATTGTTTACGATATTTTGCTTTTGAGATCATAATTTCTAATATAATTACTGAGCGATTAAAATTTTTGAAATATATTGGACCTTAAAATCTATGGTGACTTTTATGTTTACAGGAATTAAAGGCGCAGTATGAGGTTCACAATAACATGCGTAATGAAGCGGACAACTACTTCGAACAGGCCCTACGAATTATACCCCTGTCGGATGAAATATTGCAGCGACAGTTTTACTACGAACTGCAGGGTCGTTGGAACGGGGTCAGTGATAAAATCAACGAGATTCAAAAAGATATCACTCGCAGCATTTCCTCGGAAGACATCTCGTCGAATGAAAAATTGAAGTTACTGGAGAGGGAATTGAACGAGCTACGAATAACCATCAACAGTTTCCATGGGGTGTTGAAGACAGAGGGGGAACTTGATTTGTACGTCGAGAGACTCACCATACTGTTCGAAAGGATTTCCTTAATCCAAAACGAGATAGGCAGACTAGGTCTTCTACCGGCGGCGGAGAGCGAAAGAGTCGGAATTTTGTTATCATCGGCGCGTTGCATAGAGGGACAGATAGGCGAGGAGCTGGACTCGGCGCAACTACTCAGAGAAAAGATTCAAGCTCTTCAACGTGGATTGAGTCGTTTCAGAAAGGCGCACAAAAGATTGTCAACGATACTGGATCAATGCGAGGGTAGCGAAAGGCAAGAAAGCGACCTAGTGGCTGCGGCTGTAGATCGTTGTCGATCTGTCGCAGACGAGTTAGCTGTTCTCTGGCAGGATCTAATGGCATTAAGACAGATGCTACATAATTTACCTACTGGCATGAGAGTGACAGTGTCACCGGTGGGCATAGAAAGAGACTTGTCCAATATACAGGACGTACACACCGAACTTGAATCCAGATGTGCGCATCTGCTTTCATTGCTGACAAACAGATTGGAGTTATGGCGACGATTCGAGAGGCAGCTGGAAATGGTACAACAGTCTGTCCAAGAAGCGGATTATATGATGGAATTGTTAACCGTCCAAGGTTCCGTCGACTACGACAGACTGCTGAAGGCCACCGAACGTCTCGAGGTAGGTTTATTTCTCTATCTAATTGTAAATTATGTCAGTCTACACACAAAAGCAATGCAATTTACTCGTGATATACAGATTAATTAAATCATCAGTGACTTGTAACGATTTCATGAAATATTAACAATTCCCTTGACTCATTTATCATTTACCGAGCGAATGGATATTAATTAGCAAACTGTGCAATCCGATTGGACGACGGAATCGAAATAGATCGTAATCGCGAAATTTTCCTTACACCTTACAAATGATCGATTAGAGTCTTTTCACCATAGCGATACTATGACATCATCGAACAAATCCGACTTACAAATATAAGCCGATCTTATCGGCGATACAGATTGTACACACGTGTATCGTTTTATGCGAACGTCTCGTTTCTCAGCGCGCGCAGGCGTCGCGCTCCCGCTCTCATTCGTTATCGTACGCTGCCGCTGCCTATCAGTACCGCGGGATCCGTGCTCACGTCTACGTCGTTGACGAGAATACCCGCGAACCCGTTGAAATATCTCTGTTGAGATATTTTGTTGTGTTTCGACCTATTATCGCCCGTTCGAGAGATAACCGCGAGTTGATCGAATGAGGCCCGTAGTTCTCTACAAGCCGGCGCGATTCTCCGAACGCCGGAATTCCACGACGGAGACGAAGCACAATAAATAGCCTCAAGGTAACGTCGCTCCGCTCGCGGACGGCGAGTATTTTCCTGAATGGTGTGTGGTCGCGTTTCCGTTCCGCGTGACACGTGCCAAGTCGCTCCAGGTTGCACGAAGAATATTTGGAGCAGAATTTCCAAAGTTTTGCGCTTCGTCGGAAAGTTATTGTGATCACGAGCTCTAGTACACTATGATAATGATTTTGGTGATGACTCAATGAGTTCTCATGAGACGGTAATCGCAAATACAAATAGTGTACAGATAAAGTTGTTGAAATTCGCTACAAATGTTATCTAGAACCAAGTCGGAAGTGGCGTGATACTACGATTCGCGTGCTTGATAGAGCGAATGATGAGGGGTTTTTTTTTAAACGCTCCATCGCCGCGAAATAAATGCATTCATGCATTATCTGCGAAAGGAAACCGGATGTACGTTCGTGCGGGACCGGCATAAAATGAACGGCACTGTCTTTTTGATGTTAGTGCGTTGCCCCGCATTGATGAAAGTACAAAGCGATCAATTACTCTTGTACGATAGCCTACATAGAAAAAAATCATTTATTGCGGAGCGCGTGTAGTTTTCCCACGTAAGAATAATCATTTCATACCGTTCTTATAACACATCGTTCAATCACTTTGCGGTCGCGTACCTTTTGTTTTTTACTTTGTCCTTTGCGCCCTTGTTACAGTTACGCGAACAGAAGTCGAGCAGTGCGGCTCGTGCGAAAAAGTTTCGCTTCCTCAGACGATCGTCGTGCGCATTTCTTTTCGAGGATGGTCGTGTACTCTTTGCGAATACGCGAATATGCGAATGCGAAAACGATTTCGTAAGGATTGACTTCCGCCGGATCATCGTCTCCTTTTTCTGCATTCGAGACCGCTGCGAGTCCACGCGTCGCGACATATGAAGCGAAGCTATGCACACCGTTATTCATCGATGCGTATTAAATCAGCATATATTACGCCAGGCGTGAAGTCGTTACAAGCAACAGGTCGTCTGTAACGAGATAGTGTACGTAGAAAGAACGCGGATGCATACGTAGCTCGTGATCTCTCGCATGCGGTCCGGTCAAGATAAAACGCGATTATATTAAATACAGAGTAAAGTTAGTATCACGATTTCCTCGACCATATCAAATGATACACCTGTCATGATAGGTCTATGATTATTCCTGAAATTACACACGTAGTATAAATGCAACAATAAACTCGATGGAAAGTATCGGAATAAGCGACTTTATGTAGGAGTCTTACGCGATTCTTTGAACGAAGAATAGATCAATATTGGACGACATGATGCAGTGAATGCAAACTCAACAGCAACGGTGCTTTAATTGCAAATAACGCCAGGTCTTTTTTGATTTTGTGAAATGCAACCGACTTCCAATTGGCTAACAATGTTAACGTGTCAAATTCTTTTACGAGAGCCACAAGTGACTCTTGGCAATTTCTAAAATCTGATAATAAATGCATCACGATAACAAATGCGTTGTTATAAATGACGTGTACTTGAAAATTCTGTTTCGCTCAATGCAACGAGTATGCAATGAGATAGCGCGTGTACTGCATATCAATGATGACTGGCGCTCCACTTTAGAAATAATTATAAAAGATGACATAAATGACTATAGTCATTAGCGTTGTATGACGTGGTATGTAAACTATGACACGTGGAGAAGCGCGCGTTTAGGAGCGTCGTAACCGCCCAAGCGTATATTTATGATTTCCTCTCCTAGTATGTAGTCTATCGATTCGTCTTCGTTATTCACCAGAATTTCAGAACGTCAGAATGTTCTTTAACATCGACTGATCGGTAATTAATATTCAATTCAGTTTGACATACGACATGGCTGATGCGCAGATGCAAATAAAACATGACAAAATATTAATTATAAACAGCTAGCATAAACTTGTGATTAAATTAACATCTTTAGAAAATGCATAAGGTATGTCTTTTTCACATTAGATTTTTTTTATGGTTGTTAAAAATTAATATTTGATAATAAAAGAATGCACTTTCGCGTGCCTGTTCTTAGAAAATTCGCTAGGTGAATGACCTCGAGTACACGACACAAAATTAGTTCAACCATGTTCTGACCGAATTCATGTAAGTCTCCAAACGTGCTAGTCTCGTGCCGTGAATTTATTTATAGCGTGTTTTAAGCAAAACCGACGCTTTCTTTGAATTGTCTGGCGCGGAGCTGCCTATATGGGCAAGGAGTTTTTTAATTGAAATACATCAACGTTGAGTAAAAGTAGATATAGAAAATTATCGAGTTTTAATTTGTGACAAAAATATTTCTGACAAATTTATTGTTACCATCTCTTCTAAATTAGAATTAAAAATGTCTTCAATAATAATTGAAAAATATTATTTATGAAATAATTAGAAAGATGAGTGCATGACTTTGATAAATATAAAAGTGATCTTTTATGTTGATGTTGTTAGTGCTCCATTTTTATGTATTTCAATCTAAATGTATTTGATTAAAGCAACAACCATTTTTAATATTCGTAATGTTCAGAAATATAGAATATTGATTGCAATTTTTTCTGAAAATGACAGGGTCTAAACGGTGATTTGGGCGCTCGAGAAGTTCTCATTGGCGAATTACGTGCCGCTGCCGAGCCTCTGCGGGAGAGCTGCGCCGCAGAGGTCCGCGAAAGGGTCGACGCCGCAGTAAATGAGGCCGTACAGGCTTGGGACGATACAAGGGCCGAATTGGATGCCCTTTGCACTCGATATCAACACGCGTGCAGACTCTGGCAGCAATACAGAGACTCTAGTGCCGCGGTGAAGGTCTGGGTAGACACCCAAATGAACAGTGTGGCAAATTTGCCACCGGAAGAAGCAGCCAAACAAGTTAAGGTAGGTGATGTCAGAAATCTTTTGCCGTTATTATAAATTAAATCCTTACTTTGAAAGTGGCCCGCTTTCGAAAATCTCGCTAATCTCTGTAACGCGGACACGGAAGAGAGGACGCGTTAATAGCTGATAACTGGCTAGCAAGTAGATTTCTAAGTAGTGACCTTTGAAAGAATTAGAAAGTTACGTAAAAAGTAAACGCACCGACTCTCAAAATAAAAGTTTGGATATGCAGTAATTAGAGAAATTTCGATCAAGATTAACGTCGTGTCATTTCTTACCGCACGTGGATGCTTTATTCGTTCATCATTTCTTTTAAAGTTTAGCAGGCAAATAATGTCACAGCTGGGATATCAGATCTTTGCACGTTTCAGTACTAATTCATTTTTATTTTACATACATTTCAGTGTATGTAACATATGGAAAGATGTTGAGTATCCGATCAAATATTTTTATCATATTTTACGCACGTAGGGGACGAGTTGCCTAATGCGTGATTTGTTCTCTCGTAAATAAATTAACAGTATATATCTGTTCAAAAATATGAAATATTTTTACGATTCGTATTCTCTACGTGTAACAACGTATCGGAGCGAAGAATACTTTTCTCTCGCGATAATGAGCTGGGGTCAAGGACACGCGACAAACACGCGTTTGTTCGATCATTGGAGAAGCGCGTGATCTATTCTCCCGTCCAGTGTTGTAAATATATGTTGCGACAAAAAGTATAAAATATTACGTATCCCCCGTACGCGGGGACAGATCGATATACATACATCAGAAAAGAATTGTTCTGCCGTTGTAATAACGAGCGAGTCAGGGACGTGCAACAGACGCGCTTTCATCCCTTGAATGAAGAAGCGCATGATATCATCGTCCCCCAATGCGCGCGCACACTGTCTAGGGATAACATCGCAGCATACAAGGCAGAGGCGAATAAGAGTGAAACTTGACTCATCATTATCGTCACCCCTCGCTCACACTCGCCTGTGTAGTCGCAGATGCGCCGGCTGGCAGGGGTAGGTCGTCGAGAGAATACGGGGCAAGAGGGCGAGTCGCACAGACGCGCGCATCGATCCCTCGGAACTCTACGCCAGTCCGGTCCAGGGCGTTGCGGCGTTTACAGCATCCAGTGTACGCTCTTGACGTTTTCTCCAAGTATCGTTTATCTCGTCGGAAATGCACACACTCGTTGTCCTATCTCCTTATCTCTCCGTGGAGATTTTTAAACAGTTGCATCTGTCACGCATTGAAGATTGCGTGAGCGTGAGCTCGCACGCACGATACGCAGACATGCGTTTGTATCTGTGCGTGCGTATGTGAATGTGAAATGCGCAACGACGATTCGGACCATGTGCTTAGACGACAGAGGAGGGTACAGTGCCGCACGTGTTCGTTTAGTTTTGGAGCGAAACTTTATGAGAACGCGCGTCAAAAAGCAGAAAGCATGAACGACGATCTCAACTAAAGACATGTGCACACCGGAGGAAATAAAGGTAGAGCAGCGTGACGAACGAAGAGAAAAACGATGAAATTTATGAATACAGTCTATTCACTACAAGCCAGAGATTCCTGCCGATTATAGCAACAGGACGGAAATAACTTTAACGCCGCGAAAATAACAGCGCACTTTTCCCAAGATCACATATTTGTCTATCGCGCCAGTGAAAAAGATTTCTAAAGAAATGATAAAATATACGTCAAATTAAATTTGAATATATAATAGTTGATAAAAATGTGAAAAGAAATTTCAAATAATTTGGAAATTGTACATAAAAATTTGTCAAGAAACTACCATTCAAATTTGTTGTATTAAAAATTGAATACTGAAAGCTGTACACAGTTGAAAAATTTGTGTTAAATTTAACAGATATCACATGTCCCAAACGGTCCACACAAATTTTTGTGTTAATTTAACATAATATGGATATGTTAAAGGATCACACTAATAGTCTGTTAATATTTTAACACAAAATAAATGCAAATCTCAAAACCATTTAACAAAAATTTTGTGTAAACTTAACATATTTTTAATGACAAAATGAATTTTAAAAATGTAATTTTTACATTTCATAATAAATAGGAATGTATCTTCGAGGAGGTAGGCACTAACAATAAGACACGCCACTTATTTTTCGGCGAGAAAAGTAACGGGC